TGTTAGTTCTTCTTTGAATGTTTGGTAAAATTTGCCTGTGAAGCCATCCAGTCCAGCATTTTTGTTTCTGGGATTTTAAAAATTACTGCTTCAGTTCCAGAAGATTGTAAGTTTCTAGGAAATTGCCCCGGTTCAATTTGTTGGCATAGAGTTGTTCATAGTATTTTCTTCCTACCCTTCGTATTTCTTGGATGTGGATACTTCTGCTCTTTCATTTCTGATTTTATTTATTTGGGTCCTCTCTCTGTTTTTCTTGATGAGTCTGGTTAATGGTTTGTAAATCTTGTTTATCTTTTCTTTTTCTTTTTTTTTAAAATATATCTTTATTGATTTCAGAGAGAGGAAAGAAGAGAGAGAGAGAGAGATAGAAACATCAATGATGAGAGAGTCATTGATCAAGCCTGCAACTGGGCATGTGCCCTGACCAGGAATCGAACCCCTATCGCCTGGATCCTAGGTCGACGCTCAACCGCTGAGCCACGCCCGGCCAGGCTTGTTTATCTTTTCAAAGAACCAGCTCTTGGTTTCATTGATCCTTTGTATTGCTGTTTAAGTCTCCATGCTATTTATTTCTAGTCTGATCTTTATTCTTTCCCTCCTTCTACTTCCTCTGGGCTTTGTTTGTTGTTCTCTTTCTATTTCTTTTAGGTGAAGGGTTAGATAGTTTATTTGAGATGTTTCTTGCTTCTTGAGGTAGGCCTGTAATGCTATGAACTTTTCAGGACTGCTTTCATCGCGTCCCATAGATTTGTGGTGTTGTGTCCTCATTTTCATTTGTTTCCAGGTAACTTAAAAAAAATTCTTCCTTGATCTCATTGGTAACCCATACATTGTTTAGTAACATGCTTTTTAGCCTCCATGTGTTTGAATGTTTTTTAGAATTTTTTTATTGTAGTTGATTTCTAGTTTCTTGCTATTGTGATCTGAGAAGATTCTTGTTATGAGTTCAATCATCTTGAGTTTGTTAAGATTTATTTTGTGTTCTAACATAATGTTCTGTCTTTGAGAATGTTCCGTGTGCACTTGAGAAGAATGTATATTCTGTTGCTTTGGGATGAATTGTTCTGTAAATACCAATTAAATCCATCTGATCTAGTGTGTCAGGACAGCCAGCTGCCCTCTGCAGGAGCAAGCTTAGCTGCCCTGGGCTCAGGGGGATAGATCTAAGGAGTCTCCCATTGAGGATGTGCCAGCCCGGCCTGCAGGAGGGCTGCTAAGCACTTTGTCCTGGTCCCAAACAATAGCCTTGAAAGGTCTCACAGTTTGAATGTCCCTGCTTTGAGCTGCTCTCCCTTCCTCCCACGGAACTGTGCCCAGCAGGGGTATCTGGGACTTGGCAGGGGTGATCTAAACAGTTTCCCCTTGGGGTGGTGCTGGCAACCTGTATGAGGGGGGTGGGCACTTCTTCTTCCTGGGTAGTGTGGGCTGAACTCGCAGGGAAGCCTGGATTTGCCTCCCAGCAATGCAACCAAACAGCTCCATATAGCATCCAAACTCTCCATATAGCAGCTGGACTGAAGCTTCCCAGGAGACACAGTCCAAAAATCCCAGCTCTGCGCAGATCCCCAGCCTCCCTGCGCTGCTGAGCCAAGCAGGACAGGGCAGGCCCAGTGGCTCAGCTGGTGGGGGGAGGAGTGTCAGCTGTATGCTCATTTCGGGGGAGACAGTTCCTCTTTCCCAAGCCACATAGCTTAGTCACTCTCTAGGTCTCTGCCAGGAGCCTCCCAAGAAATCTGGGGTCCCTTAAAGTCACTGTTGGGCGTAGCCAGCAGACCCCTTCACAGGTGGCCTCTCCAGCAGTTGGAGTCAGAGTGAATTCCACAGGCTGGTGCTGTGCCTTGAGGGGTGCTCTTTCCTTGGGATGGTACCATCCGAGTCTCCCAGGCGGACTGAATCCCCACAGAACTCCCACCGCCAGATGCCACGCAGGTCCCTTTTCCCGTCCCTGTCGCTCTGAGGTGGGGATCTGTGTGAGGCTGAGACCCCATACTCCTAGGGGAGGGGGTCCCACAGCTGCAGTGTCCCTCCAGCTTCTCAGCTGCCTCTGCACATGCGTGAGGTGGCCCTTCTTACCAGTCTCCATGTGGCTTCTCTGTTCCTTGGTTATAATATTTTAGATAAGCTAGTCTTCAATTGTTTTTTCAGGTTGACTGCTCTGTAATTTAGCTGTAAATCTGGTTTGGGGCCGGGAGCAAGTGGGAGCAGCTTCCAGCTATTCTACAGCCATCTTGCAACCTCCCAGCTACCTTTTATGGCCAAAGTAGAGAGTTTCCTCCACCCTTCTAAGTACTCAGTTTCTCTGATAGTGGGAACTTCTGTTGTCAAGCGATCTTGGATTGAAGTGTTTGTTTTTCTTTGTAGTTCTTAACGAGCTGGGCATTCCACTGCACCCCTGCTGATGCCATGAGGGTGGTGGCCGTTGGCACTGTAGCCCACAGACTGGGTTGTCCCTCGGATCTCTTTATGGTTCCAGAGTGTTCTCTAGCTAAAGATCGGTGCCGCATCTGTTGGGCAATGTTGGCAATCTCATCAAAAGTGGTATTTCCACTGTGCGTAATGTTTTTTTTGCTTCTTTCGGTCTCGGGGGGTTCTTTGAGGGCTTTGATGATCAGAGCAGAGGCCGAAGGTACTACCTCAGTCTGGGCCTGTCTTTTCTGGTCAGTTTCACTGTAATCCTCAGACCCTCCCCACCAGTTTCTTTGGTGATCTCATCACCAACCTTTTTAGGAGACAGACGCAGGGGGCCGATCTTGGGGACCAGAGCAGACATGGCACTGACTTTCACACCTCAGGCATATGACTTTGATCTCACTGGTGTTGAACTTTGGTGGCATGGTGTCAGATGAACCCCAATTTGGGCGTCCAGAAAAAGTTGCACCTAAGCCTCCTCCCAGCCAAAAGCTGAAAGAATACTGGGAATTTTTGTTTTTGATAGAATCCTGCACTATGGAAATTTGTCCTTAGCATCCCTTGGAGGCTTCCTTTGGGATCGGCATACTTCCCAGTGAGCACATGTGGTGGAATCAGAGGAGGCGCTCACTTTGAGTCTTGTCTTCGGAGGTTAGGCTTCAGCTGTCTTGGAATGAGGTGACTGAGGGTTTGCTAGCTCCCTACACACAGAGAGGTGAATACATCTTTTGGGATTTCACTGGACTCATTTCATCTGATGTTATTTATAAAGTCTCCATTACCATTTGGCAGCGTGTTAGTGCTAGTTAGATCCGAAGACTACGATTTTACCCATGTGAGTCTGTTCTTAAAAAGCAGTTTCTCTGTATTTCTTCTTCTCTTACTGAATACCCTTGTAACAGTCAGGGCTCTTCATTGCAAGCAACAGGACAGTTCTGTTAAGGCACTGAATTTAGAACATCGAATCTGACAGAATTGCCGGAAAGGCTGGAGAACCAGGCTTGGAAAGTGGTGAGAACACAGGGCCATGTACACAGGAAAGCGGGTGTGCTCCTTCCCCCTCTGCATCTCCTGCTCCAGGTTTGGTGGCCCAGGTGGGAGTGCCCAGTGGCCGGGTCTAGTTTACATGTCCCTGCCCTAGCTTTTGGTGGTAGGGAGGTGGGTGCAAGTGAATAATTGGTCTTTTTAGCATCCAATTTGGGGTTCAGAGGCTTTGCTGTCAGGATGTGGTTCTCTTCCCATCTGCTGTGGACTCAGAAGCTCCATGGTTGACCATCACACGCCCATCCTTGTCCAGCACTGCAAGTAGAGGACCTAGCGGTCAAATCCTTTGAACCAACATACTCTCTGTATATACAGTTTAACCTTAAAGCACACTAATTGTCGTGTTTCATGCAGAATTATTTCCTCAACCAATTCTTTACAAGGGCAGAAAGTTAAATGAAAGCCTTGATGTTTAATATGGTCGACTAACTGTGGAGGGCACTGGAAATTGTCAGGCAGGTATACTAGAAAGGAGGCCATTTATTCATCACTTAGTGTAAGTGGCTTTTTCTTTATGAGTGATAGCCATTCATTTTATTTGAAACACATTCTTAGAATCCCAAAGGGTGCTTCAGTTATAAATAGTGTAGCCTCTGTCACACCGAGGACTTCAGAAATGCTGTGGAAACATGATATAATGTCTGCCACTGCCCTGCTGTAAGAAACATCTTGCATGCATTCATTATTATGCAGAAGACACCCATGTCACTGAGGTGGTCATTTTTATTAACTAAAGACTGCCCTGCGCTGGTCGGTGTGGCTCAGTTGGTTGAGCATAGCCCCAGGCACCAGAGGGCTGCTGGTTCGATTCCCAGCCAGGGGATATGCCTAGGTTGCAGCCCCGTCCTCGGCAGGAGGCAAGCAGGAGGCAGCCAGTCGGTATTTCCCTCCCACACCAATGTTTTTCTTTCTGTCTCCCGTCTTCTCTCTCTAGAATCAATTAAAACATATTAAAAAAAAAAAAAAAGACTTCCCTGACTAGTGTGGCTCAGAGGTTAGAGCGTCATGCCCTGACTATGTGCAGGAGGCAGCCAATCGGTGTCTCTCTCTCACGTTGATGTTCCTCTCTCCCTCCCTCTCTCTCTGTCTCCCCCCCCAATCTTCCCTTTTACTCTCTCTAAAGAGCAATAGAAAAACATACCCTCCAGTGAGGATTAACAACAGGAATAAATAAAGATTGGAGCTTGGTTTTGGTTCAAAATGAACCAACAATATGAACCCATAAAATGAAACACCTCTCTTGGCCGGGCGTGGCTCAGCGGTTGAGCATCGACCTAGGATCCAAGCAATTGGGGTTCGATTCCTGGTCAGGGCACATGCTCGGGTTGCGAGCTCGATCCCCCGTCAGGGGCGTGCAGGAGGCAGCCAATCAATGACTCTCTCATCATTGATCTTTCTGTCTCTCTCCCCCTCTTCTTTCTCTGAAATCAATATATATTTAAAAAAACTTAAAAAAAACACCCCCCAAACCCACCTTACAATGAAGCCAGAAATGGAATGTTCCCTTCCGACTGTTAATTTTGCTGCTAATGTTTTCCCCTCTTTAGGTGATGTTCTGATTCATGTTGGCCAAGCCAATGTGTTAGGATATACTCTTCGGGAATTTTTAAAGCTTTTGCAACAAAGCACCATAGGAGCAGTGCTGCAGATCAAGGTTTACCGAGATTTTATTGACATACCTCAAGAATGGCAAGAAATATATGATTTAATCCCTGAGACCAAATTCCCAGTAACACGGTAAGTAGTTCATTTTTGGAAGTCTTTGTTATACTACAGAGTTCTCCAAGGTCCATGAAGCCCGGGCTCTTGGTTCAATGTGAAAATTATCGAGTGGGCCATGGTAGGAGGGTTGGTGACTGCCAGGACAGTGTCGTGGGTTTCTAAACCCTTTGGGAAAGAACAGTCGGCAGGAGCTAACATCAGGAAGAATGATAGAGGCAAGAGCCTTGAACCTGGAGTTAATAAAAAATAAACCATCTGATGGGAACTCTGCCTCCAGACATCCATGCAACGTGTCCCCTTCCAGTCAGCCCGTAAACGTGTGCTGGGAATGCCATTCCCTTGTTTGTCTCCTGCAGGTTCAGCTGCTCTCTCTGGATCCTTCCCAGTAACATTTAAGCCTTTTAAAGCTTCTGTCATCTTAGCAAACCCCACCACAACTCCAATGTCCTCTCTGCCCCCTCGGGCCCCTGCCCTGTCCCTGACTCCAACCTTGTTGGAAGAGCCGTACTAGACACGGCCGCTTCCCAGGCACTCAGCACTCGTCATTCTGGGCCTTGCTGTCGTCACTTGGCTGAGGCCTTTCCTAGGTCCCCCAGAACCTTCACACTTCCGATGGGCTCCTCTCATCTTTATTTTGCTTGGCTTCTGAGCTTTAGACATTTACAACCTCCCCAACCTCCTCTTGTTGGGAGATCACCTTCCCGATACCTGTGATACTCGCTCCCCTGATTTTCCTATGACCTCTAGTCACTTCTTGGTCTCCTTTTACCAGGCCTTGGAGTTAGTTCCTCAAGGTTTAATCTTCGGCTCTCTCCTCTAAGCTCCTGGGCAATCTCAATGATACCTTTTGTTTCTATTACTCTCCATACATTAATAATTTGCAAACTGTATTACCTCCTAATTTGTATACTTAACCACCCCCTTGGTACCGCCCTTTGGAGTTACCGTAAATTCTCAAACTCGTGCTGCCCAAAGCCATTACGCTAGCTCCCCTCTGAATTCCCAGTGGCCCTGTCTCCCTGGGCCGGTGTCTGCCTGGACAAACAAGTCAGAAATTCAGGGGCTGTACCTGACTCTTCCATCTCCTCGGCCTCCCCCTCCCCCAGTAATCACTAAGACTTGTCATTTGCCTTCCAGCCATCTCCCACACTGGTCTGCGTCTCTCTGGCCACTACCATCACCCCAAAGTCACCATTTTGTCTTCTGCATCGGCTCTCGTCCCCTATGCATTCTCTACAGAGAATGATCCTTTTACCGTGCAAATCAAATCCTGACGTGCCTTAAAATCTTTAAGACCTTTCTCTGTTCTCAGGATAAATGCCCAAACCCTTACACTGGCCCGTGCCACAGAGGTATGGCTGGTGTCAGGCTGGCTGGTCATCTCACGCTGCTCCCCTCCCTTGTAGTCCACTTTGGCTCTCAGCTCTTTTACCTGATGTTGGTCTTTGCTGTGGGGCCTTTGCATGGGCTCTTCTGTCTGCAACATGTCATATATTCTCATAATTACCCTGTGTCTCTCCTCACAGCATGGACCCCAATTTCAATGAAATAATCCATATAACCAAGTGTTTACTGTGTTGCCCCGGGAGAACACAAGCTCTATGAAGGCAGGGACAAGTCTGTCTTGTTACGCTAAACCTACCATAGGACTTTAGGTCATTGAGAGCTCAGCTACTCAGTGAATGAAAATTGAAATACAGCTTTGAAACTCTGGCAAATCACTTAATCTGAGAGCTTGTTTATCTGTTAACACAGGAGTACCAGGGACTCTTCTGAGGGTCAGAAGAGGAAGTTCCATAGAACATGAGAACATCATCTTTCAGTGGGAAACTCAGTGCTCTAATGTGGAGTGGGGTCCTTACTCATTCTGACAGGTTTCCTGAGCCCTAGTTGCTGTGGCCCTGCACCTTTGTTTATTGNGAGCCCTAGTTGCTGCGGCCCTGCACCTTTGTTTATTGGGATGGGCTCAAAGAAATCTGCCCGGGGACTTCACTAAGACTAAAATTGACCCAGATTGCATAGACATTGCTTCGGAGATCCCAACTTGTTGGGCCAAGGGGTTGATATGGCCCTCAGATGTCTCTGCTCGTCTCCACAGCCTTTCAAAAAGCCAGAAGAGCCTTGGCTGGATAGGTCAGTTGGAGTGTCGTCCATACACCAAAAGGTTGCAGGTTAGATCCCCGGTCAGGGTGCACACGAGAGGCAACTGATTGATGTTTCTCTCTTTTCATTCCCCTCTCTCTAAATAGGAATCAGTGGAAACATAACCTTGGGTGAGGATTTAAAAAAAAAAAGGCCAGAAGAGCAGTCACCTGTAGAGAGCAGAGAGTGAGGAGGATACTTGGGGCTTCCCTAGGGGACAGTAGAGCTCCATTTCTTGACCTGGGTGGTGACTACCAAGGTTTCTGTAATTTTTTTCTTAAACTGTTTTGGTTTTTTTTGCATTTTTCTGNTTGGGGCTTCCCTAGGGGACAGTAGAGCTCCATTTCTTGACCTGGGTGGTGACTACCAAGGTTTCTGTAATTTTTTTCTTAAACTGTTTTGTTTTTTTTTTGCATTTTTCTATATATTTCAAATTTTAAAAATAAAAATTATTTGCAATAGCTGCCAAATTTACAAATCTAAGGTTTCATGGAAAGAATCTGGATTTGTGGTTTCTCCTGGAAAGTCAGATGGGCTTCATTCCCCTGGGACAGTGGCCTGGAGCTGGGGAAGCAGCTGTCCCCATCAAATCAGGCAGACTATGGAAAAGAATTTCCCCAATAACCAAAGAAATCCTATTTGATTTAAAATCATTAAATGATAATAGCACTTATTCGCTGTTACTATGTGGTAGGTACTGTTTACAAGATTATACCACTTAATCCTCATGCCAATTCTTTTTATTATCATTTTATAGATAAGAAAACTGAGGCCAAAAGAAGTGTGTAGACAGAGGTCATAGGCTAAGTGGCACTGGTTTGTCTCTAGAGCAGCCATGTCCAGTAAGAACTTCCTGTGGTGGTGGAAATGCTTTCTATCTGTGTTGTCCCATATAGTAGCCAAGAGCCACATGTGGCTATTAAGAACATGAAATGTGAGGATTTGCAAATGAGAAATTGTAAATTTTATTCAGGTTTAATCAGTCTAAATTGAGCAGCCACACAGAGCTGGTGGGCCTTGTATTGGGGAGTGTCACTTAAGCCTGAGCTCTTAATCATTTGCTTATACAACTATGTTCTAACTAAGCATTTCAATTAGTTTGAGATTCAGAATATTAAAATCTAAGGACGACAGATTTACTGTTCAAAAACAAAGAAAAGATAAACGCAGATAGCACAACTTATGAGACTAAACCCCACAAACTCAAGAAAAATACCAAGCACATTCTGACTCGCTTTTAAAGAAGGGGCAGGAGGGGAAGGAAGCGGCTTCCTTCACAACGTTGTTATGACCTTCAGCAGCAAATGGCACTATGTGGACACTGGAGAGAATATTCCGCATAAAGCTCTGGGCAGGCCGGCTGGTATAAAAAGTGGGCTTGTGGTTTTATTACCTAATCCACTTTAATAGGAACCTAGCCCTCCCACCTGTCCTTCATGGTTACCTACTAGTGTTACATGGGATAACCTTTGCAGCCTGAGGAAACAGTACCTTGTTTTTTTCTGCTACTCATCTGCTGTTTAGGAAGCCCTGGGCATGTCTGAAGGCATATTATTCTAGTCCTTAGATCTTCTGGATCTCCTTGCACAGCACTCCATCAAGGGTCAAAGAAAATCACACAATGTAAGACTAGGGGCTCTTAGTAAAAAATGACTCAATATTAAGTGTGTATCACCAGAAAAGAAACTTTAGGTAAAGCTTTTCAAATTCTTGGGAGCAAATAAAACAGGCAGACCTCCAAGGATGTTAGTGATAACACTAGCCAGTCTGACCAGTTGGGGGTGGGGGTGGGGAAGAAACCTATTTCCTGTTTCCTGTTAGAGGACGGAACATCCCAGAGGTTCATAATCACAAGGATCTAGTTTTGGATCTGTTGGACAATAGCACCAGGATGAGGGTGTGTGTGACAGCATTTGTTCAGGAAGTAGCAGCAGGCACAGGTAGAGCAGGACTGGAAAGTTCAAGAGGTTCTTTAACTGCTAGCAGGCAAACATCACCTGTTTCAACAATCAGGAGTCAACAGTTGAGGCAAGTTACAAAAAATCTTAAAAACTTTTGGACAGAGAGAGGTGGAATAGTGAATGACGACACATCCGAGTAGAAAGGTATTCTACAAATCCACATCTGTCGGCCCCAGAGAGGCAAAGACTGATGCTCAGGAGAAAGGAAGACTCAGTTACCCGTGACTAGCATGTTAAAGGTGTTTGAGGTCCACTATTTCCCCGACTCCCCTGGAAATTGGTGATATTCTGTTATTGCTGACCCCAGGGACCCCAGAGGAGAGTTGTATGGAGATGGCCATGTGAACCTGTCATTCTGGGTAGAGTGAAATTAACCCACCCTTTAAGGCCTGCTAATAGTCCAATCATATTAGTCGTCCGGCTAAAGTCTGTGNCCTTTAAGGCCTGCTAATAGTCCAATCATATTAGTCATCCGGCTAAAGTCTGTGCAAAGTTTTTTAAGTAATATGAAATAATTTCAAGCAGTTTGATTTACATATAGGAATGAANGCAAAGTTTTTTAAGTAATATGAAATAATTTCAAGCAGTTTGATTTACATTTAGGAATGAATAATTTAAAGGCTTTTAGAAAGAGAAAAATGTCAACACAAAAAGGTGTGAAGTTAAACTGTATCCTTTCTTCTGAGTCAAAGCCAGTGACAAGACATCAGGAGTCCTTTTCGCCTGGTTAGTGTTCTCAGTGGTTAGAGCGTCACCCCAACACCAAAAGGGTCACGGGGGCTCTTCCTGGCCTGGTTGGGGTGTGTGCAGGAAGCAACCAACTGATGTGTCTCTTTCATATCGATGCTTCTCTCTCGCTCTCTTTCCCTCCCTCTGTAAAAAATCAACAAAAAATACCCCTTGGGTGAGGATTAAAAAAAAAAAAAATCCTTCCATTCACTACTTTTTTATTTCCAGCACAACAAAGGAAACCGAGCAGGCAAAAGATGACTCTTTTACAAGCAATGACAAGGAGGATGTAGTTTTGGATAAAAAACTTAATTATTATAAATCCGCACAGCCCACTGGGCACCCTCCTGCAAGGAGACCCATGTCGATCTCCAGAGAGTGGCATGAATATAAAAAGAAGAGCCAGACTGTCAGCGTAGGAACAGACACTACCTGTGACATCATGCTTCACAGGGACCACAAGAAAGACGGGAGAGCCCCTTCCCCTTACTGGACGATGGTGAAGCAAGACAAGGACAGCTCCTCCTCCTCCTCGGCCTCAGACGTGTTCTGGCTGGAAGACTATGCTCACGCTGAAAAGGGCAAGGGTCAACCTGCATCAAAAGTTGGTTAATAGTTTGCAAATCTGAGATTGTAGGAGCATCTCCCTGGAAAACACCCAGTTTTTATGCACTGCCACGTCCAGCTTTGCTGCACTCACAGAAATACATGCAGACTTACTCAGTTTTTATCAGCAACTGCTGTGAAGCCTTGTCACCTCTTCAATGGGATGGCCAAGACTTCCCCGGGTGCCACAAGAGGCCTCACAAATTTTATTCTCAAAACAGCATCACTCAGATTATGAAGACCCTCCTTTTTGAGAATGTCTCATCTTTTAGAAAATGCAGTAGAGCAGCTCGGTACCAGAATGTGTGAACAGTAGAGAATGTTACATTTTAAGGTAAGTACCAAATTGTTTAGATGTTTAGTTCCTCTTGTTTTGCAAACTTCAAGTGCTCTACTTAAAAAAAATAGAGATTTTTTGGCTAGTTGTTCATATTAGAGTTTTTCTCCTTTTTTGCCCTATTTTTACTTTGAATATTGGGTTGATAGTTAATGAGGGAGAGGGAGATGAGGGAAAGCAAAGCTCTGCATAGCAAAGATAAGGCAGATATGTAAAATGAAGCAGTGGGAACACAGGACACAACTGGTAGGGAATTTTTGTTTTTCAGAAATAACTCTATTGCACCTTGGCCGGTGTGGCTCAGTTGGCTGGGCGTTATCCCAAGCACTGAAAGGTTGCCAGTTCAATTCCCGGTCTGATTGTGGGCTGATTCCCAGTAGGGGGTGTGCAGGAAGCAGCCAATTGATGTTTCTCTCTCAAAAAAAAATCAATAAAAAATCTTAGAAAAAGGAAAGGAAATACTTCTATTGTGAAAAGGCAAGAAAGGGGAGTAAAACCCAGATCNTAGGGGGTGTGCAGGAAGCAGCCAATTGATGTTTCTCTCTCAAAAAAAAAATCAATAAAAAATCTTAGAAAAAGGAAAGGAAATACCTCTATTGTGAAAAGGCAAGAAAGGGGAGTAAAACCCAGATCATTTAATTGTTATTATCTGAAATGAGAGATTTTTAACTGCTTTTATCTTAAAAAGGCACCAACAACAATAGTCTGGGAATATTTACTGATTGCTCCTCAGCTTAACTGTAATAGTTTCTCATGCTATTATATCCTGTTGTCCTTCACAGCATCTAAAACAAAGATGTCTGCAGATAATAAATACTTGATTAACTAATTAGGAAAAATGCAAGAAAACACTTAGAACATTTTATTGACTTCAGGTTGGCAGGAAACATACCTGCATTTATACTTTTTAAGATATTTCACCTCATTGAAAACAAAGACAAATGTCACATTATAGACATGTGACTTTCATGTTTGCTGCTCTGGGTTGAGAAAATGTCCAGCTCTTTCCTGCAGTGCTTCAGGTTTACAGCTCATCAACAAAAGGTGTATGCCCCAAATTTCCACTTGCTGCCATTGACTTCTGGCCAGAAACAAACTTCTTTGCAGCCTTTAAGTAAACAAACAAAAGGCATAAAGTTAAAAGAAATAAGAACATGTACTATCAAGTACTTAAACTTGTTATTTTAAGAGCTTATGGATGGGACACTCTTGTCAGCAATTCTGCAACAGCCTCTTGTGAAAATGAACTACAGGAGAGGCTGGTGCGCTGTTTCTCTTTACTCAGCTGCTCCTGTGAGTACCCGTCACACGTGACTGAGCGAGTGTGGGGCTCTTGGTGTGAGGACAGCTGTTGAAGAGGCGTAAGGAAAGCCTCACCGACACTGTGAAATAGGCAGAGGTAGCCCCAGGCAGGGCTGTGCTTTCCTGTTTCTGTATTACGATGGCAAATAGTCTACATTAATAAAAATACACTGATTTTTAACTTAAGTCAAATTTTATATCTTAGTATTCTTTATGCCACAACTTCAAGTTAGTGGTTGTTTAGGTTAAGTGTAATACATGAGTATCAGCCCCCAAATGATCTCAGGCCACCTTTTTTCAAAGGATGGTGATGGCAGTGGCTGAGGACAGACATTTGGAAGAGTGTGTAATAAACTTTGGGGCCAAGTGAAATCATGTCGGGGTTAGTACCTTAAAATAGTCTGTCTCTTTTCTCTGTCCCCAAGGTAGACCTGTTGTTGAGAACATGGTTGACACCTCTACAATGGAAGGGCAGCTGGCATTTTTAATATAGAAAGGACTGGAAAAACCTGATTTGGGATTTATTCTGTAGTTCATGTACCTTGCAGGAAACAATGACATGTGAAAAAAAAGTACAGCAAGAGCAGGAGAATGTCTTAAGCTGAGAAGACAAAAGNAACCTGATTTGGGATTTATTCTGTAGTTCATGTACCTTGCAGGAAACAATGACATGTGAAAAAAAAGTACAGCAAGAGCAGGAGAATGTCTTAAGCTGGGAAGACAAAAGAAAATCTTGAGATGCTGGATTGGGAAGGATTGGCAGGATAGTTTATTTCCTGGGAGTNAGAATGTCTTAAGCTGAGAAGACAAAAGAAAATCTTGAGATGCTGGATTGGGAAGGATTGGCAGGATAGTTTATTTCCTGGGAGTGAGAAGAAAAAATACCAAACCTGACCATTAGTTTGAATCATAAAATTACCAATAATTGATTCTTCTTGACCTCTAAGAACTTAAAATGGTTCAACCTAATGGTAATTAACTGAATAAGGAAGATACATAGTTGACAAGGAAGCTATTTGCAGATCTGATGGTAATGAACCCTCCTGCCTCTACAACAGGTAGACAGACACCAAACAGCACAATAACAATATACACAGCCCAAGGACGCTTAAGCATGCCTTCTGAAATTGGATCATTAAGGTCAAGTTATTTGATGTTAAATTGTAAGTTTTCATTTGCTTACATTGATGACATCAGCGTCAGCTACTGAGTCAATCTGCTGAAGGACTGTGGATGGTGGCACGTACGAACCAGCGATGAGAGCCTGAGACCCGACTTCATCCAGGAAACCTTCAGAAGACTCCACTGACATTAAGTACCCAGCTTTCAGCTTGTTCCTGTCCAATTAAAGGTGTAAAACTAAGACAGAAGCCAGTTTTATAGAGCAAGGCAATTTTATAAATATGCTCCCAAACTCTCAAATACATTTTGGTAAATATGCAAATTAACAGCTTTGAAATCTTATAGTGCTAAAGACTCCCTTTCTATTTCTTCACTCATCAACTATTTTATTACTTACATTATCATTTAGAAAGTTGTCAATACAAGATCATACAAAAGCCCAACAGATTGCCTTTGGATTCTGGACTAGAACTTAGATCTAGTTAAAACTATTTTAAAGTTCTGATTAGTGAAGTGACTCTTGCTTCTTGATACTTTTTTTGGTGATAATTTTAGGCCTTTCTATTAAAGAAAAATAACTGTATGAGCTCTTCAAGCAATGTCCACTAAGCAGAATGTTGTGTACTAATTCTGTAGCTATGCCCCTCAACCCCAGCCCCATTTCTGTACTGGGATTTGTCTCACTGAGGGCAGAAAGTAATGGGGAGGCAGGTGGGTAAGGACAGTATAAGTCCCAGTAGTTTAAATATGGGCACAAAAGTATCAATTTGAAGTAAAATAAAATCCAATTCATAATTCTCCAAGAAAGAAACTGGGTTCAGTAAAGCACCTGAGTTATTTAACTCTCAAACTACCCTCCTTTGGCACGCTGTAGCAAGACTTCCATTTAAACATAATTACAATTATATGCAATTTTACCCAACTGTCAGCTTAATTAAAAGAGATTTTACCTGCAATAAACTTTACCATAAGATTATTAGTTTGTCCTGTCAGCAATGACACCTTACTTTCTCTGTTTCACTACAGGAAGATTAAAAACCCTATAGGAAAAATATCAACTCCATCCAGATGGCAGAAAACAACATACCTGACATTAATTCCCCAAATTCCAATTTCTACATGTTGCCATACTTCATAAAAACTGCTACATTTACTAAAATATGTTTCTTAAATAAACTAGATTTGAAACAGATTTTTCTTAAGATGGAGTGTTTCAAATCGTTCTCACCATGTTTTGTCTCTGGGAGCTGGAAGCACAGAGCTGTACCATTAACCCTTACTCTGAGGGATACAACATTTAATAATCTGTGTTGTCATTATTCAAGAGGCAGTTTCTTAGTGTGTTCAGGATGACAAAAGTAACAATACAAATGGGAACAGAAATGACCAATCAGTTGTTCCCTCCTGCCTTTAATTCACTGTCATACTTGCTGTGTGGGCAACACTCAAGATTATGAAGACCGTTTGAGTTTCAGGACTCACGTTCTGAACTGTCCTAAGTGGATGGAGTCAAAGTTAAATGTTTTAAACTGCTGTATGAAAATGTAGCCTGACTTCCAACTCTGCCCAAAGCCTCTCTCTCAGCTAGAGAGAATCCTAGAACTATTGAGTCAGAGGTGCTGTTTGCACTTGCAGTGAGGACAGTGGGAATTTAAATTTACCAAAAAGGAGATGAGTATTTCAGTCTTTAATCAGACATCTTTTTCTGGTCCATCACATCAGTAAAGAGAAAAAACACTACCAATGGCTGTGGTGGAACAGGCGCACATATACTGGTGGTGTGATTACAAGCTGGTATAACCTTTTTACACTGTGACTTTGAATATAAAAATACCATTTAAACACATACATGTATTTAAAGTAGAGCCTTTCGTTCATTATAATGTTTTACAACTCTTAACCCAGTTGAGAATCTATACCAAGACATTAATATGAACAAATGTTTTAAACCCAAAGATATCTTTTATAGTTTATAATTTCCAACTGCAAAAAGTGTCCACTAAGTACATTTTGATACAACTCTTTAATATTGTTTATGACAATTTTTTAATCTGAATAGAAACATAATGTTACAGAGGAATCATTGGGAATGAAAAATCATTTTTTGTGTTTATAATTTTCAAATTTCTACAATAAACATGCTATTAAAATAGGATATAAGTATGTATACAATATTAATAATTATGTTTAAAAATGCATAAAAATGGTCAAGAAAATAAGCAAAATGTTAACAATTATATCTCTAGGTGGTAGCATACAGATATATTTCCCTTTACTTTAAAATACTCTTCAGTATCTTTCAATCCTTTTGTGCATATACTACAATATTGTTATAACTACAAAAAATGTAACTTTCAAATAACTGAAACACAAAACACAGCTAATCCTGAAACTTACTTGGCAGCCTGGACATCTGTACTGGAAAGGTTTCCTTGCGCAATTGCTTTTACTTGGTTGTAGGCAGCCTTGATAACCTAGGACAGACAATGAGAAGCTGGTCACCTCTGATCAGTGCAGTCTTCTGCAGCAACCAAATGCTCCTCTAAGGCAAAACACAAGGTGGAAGGTTAGCTCCAGAGAAATAGCAGCATGTCTGGAGTTCTTAAGTCACTATGTGTTCCTATCCTTCCAATGTTCCACCAAGCAGCTGTCTGTACAACTTACAGTATCCGAGTTAGCAGAGCTTCTTACAAAAGTAAGTGGTAGAGGATGGCAGTAGGGTTTAGGAAAAGCAAACACAGGTTTATAATCATCTATAAAGAATATGCACCTCTACAATTTCCCCCGTCTCTCAAAGCACCATGCAGTTAACACTGCCACCTTAGAATTCACCACGATGTAGAATCCACCCAGCCAATTTACAGCTCAATACTGGGGAACTGGAGTCAAGAGGCAATCAAGTTCCAGTGATGTGGGTGGGGCCCTTGGTAAATCCATGTTGAATGAGTAAATGAATGAGCCTGCCTGGCCGGCATGGCTCAGCAGTTGAGCATTGACCTAGAATCCAGGATATCGCGGTTCGCGGTTCAATTCCTGGTCAGGGCACATGCCCAGGTTGCGGGCTCAATCCCCAATCAGGGGAGTGCACGAGGCAGCTGATCAATGACGACTCATCATTGATGTTTCTATCTCTTCCTCTCCCTTCCTCTCTCTGAAGTCAATAAAGATATATTTAAAAACAAACAAACCTGGCCCGTGATTCTCTCCACCCCAATCTTGGCACCATTCTGGGTCTGCACGTAGAGTTCCCCCTAATCACCTAGATTCTAGGACCTTCATTTCCCTCCCATTTCAGCTTCATGTCCACAGTCGCACCCAGACTTGGCCATAACCTAGGTTTGCCCTCCCCCTAAGTCCTCAATTCTAAGACCCTGGGCCTCCGTCTTAACACACACTGTCCTTATTTTCCTACTTCATCAAGATCTCCAGTTCCCTGGCTTGTCTCAATCTGAGGTCCCTCTGGCTTCACTTCTCTGTCTAACCTAGATCCAAGACTGTCTCCTCAATCTCCCAACTCCCTTGCCATCTCCTTATACTTCTGACCTGCCTGCTTTGTAGGACTTCAACCTGGATCAACCCTGCTACCTGCCTCTGCCTCCTTCATTTCTCCATTGAAGAAAAACTGCAGACCAGACCTGTCAGTACTGAATTTGTAGTCACTCACCTCAAGGAGCTATTTATACTGCTGCTAAGTGCCATTCTGTGTGTCTCTAGCCATTCATCTGTCTCAAACCTCATGACTTTCTTTCACCTCCCCTCCCGTCTCTTATTCTCAACATGCCTTAGCTGCCTCCCTCACCAGGGGTTACATCTCCTGACATCCACTTCTCCTGACATCAGCCTTTGAGTCCAAGGCTAAAATGTCCACTTGTACTCTGGGCCTTGCTTGCTCCTGCCATTTTCAGACACGATTCATTTACAGTTTCCTATCTCCAATGTCTGCTCCAATCTTTCTTTCCTTTCCAACTTCATCTCTTAGAGTAAACCCTACTAAAACTAGCCCCCACCTCCCTGCAAGTCCAAGCTCCACATGCCTACAGCAACCTTGCATTATTTTTGTCTCATTCACTCCTTAATACTATAAATTGTCATTTATTTTCAACATTCTGGTGAAAATGGATATCACCAATGATGTCCTAGTTTTGCTAAAACTATCGGACCTCTGTTGTTAATCCAGGGTAGATCAAAATGGTCTTAATTGTTCTTTCCTGGCCTCCAACGGTACCAGTTTCTCTTCTTTTTCTTCCTGTTTTCTTGGCGGTTTTTCCCAGAAACCACCTTAAAGCACGGAGCACCTTAAAGTATAGAGCACAAGGAGCTTCAGTTTTCTCCTAAGGTCTTTCATACAAAACGCTGACTTGAACACAATCTGTATATTGAGGACTCCCAAATACACATATTGCCCTTGACCTCACCTGAGCTCTCAATTTAGATGTCCCAGAGACAACTCAATGCCACTTCTCCAAACAGAAACAAAATACCAAGAAAGTGTTTCCTTCCTTTTTCCTGGAAGCATCAGTAATGTTTCAGTTTCCTCCACAGCAGATACACTTGAATGATGTTACAGAGTTCTGGTAAGTAATGGCATTCAAACATCCCATATTTTAACTAAAAACACCTTAATAGGGGGAAAAAACTTGTGAGAATTGGTGAGTTTGCAACTTACATCTCCAGCGGCTGCAGCCTGCGAGATAGTGTAAATCCCAAAGAGTCCAGAATCCGAGTAGCTGGCATTAAAAGCAGAAACCTGAAATATAATGAAACTCAACTGGTACATCATTCTACCATGTAGAACAATGCACAAGTTTCCTAAGGTTGTCTAGACAAAAACTTGCACCTACATAATACAAGTANCCTGAAATATAATGAAACTCAACTGGTACATCATTCTACCATGTAGAACAGTGCACAAGTTTCCTAAGGTTGTCTAGACAAAAACTTGTACCTACATAATACAATAGACTAGTATTTCATTTAGCCAGTCTGTCAAGGATGGACGTGTTACCTCTTTCAGGATGATAATGGTTTTAACTTTTCTCATTTAAATCTTTCTAAAACGGGCTGCTTCCTTTCATTTCTGCTGGGTATTTTCTAACCTATTTTGATGATTGAAGGTTAATGCAAACATGAATTTGTGAACATATTACAGACACAATGGCTGAGTAGTATGGATTGTGGGCTTTCGCACAGGACAAACCTGACTTCCCTTGGTTATTGCTGACGGCCTTTTCACCAATTCGCTTTCACTTCATAGACTCAAGTCAAAGGCTTAGGGAAAATCTTCTGCTCGGTGGTTATTTGTAACAGGGTTATTGCTGTCGTAACAGTGTTAAGCTCCTTAAGGTGATATAACTGCCTAGGATAGGGTGTCCCAGTGTTCATGTGGACCACCTGCCTAAGGATCACCTGAGCTGTTGTGAAGAATACAGATGTTTAGGTTCCTGCAACAGATTACTCACTCAGATCCCTCTAGACACAGTCTGGAGTCCACATTTTTAACTAATGTTCCAGGTGATTCTCATGTGAGAACCACCAGGGCAGCCCATATAAAGCATAGAGCATAAGGAAAAATGCGCTTCAACTACCTGAATTACAATTTGAGAGGATCCTATTCACACACCAAACTTCCAGCCAAATTCTGAAGTAGGAATTTCTATTAAATTATGTCATTAGATTAGGATTAAACTCCACCCACACCAAAGCATCATTAACATACAATGGTAAAGAATGCTGCTTGAATTTAATTTAGAAATCATTTAAGATAAAGGTTTTCAAACTGTGCTCCAGGGAACCCTAAGGCTCTGTACATAAGATTCCAAGGGTTTTACTGTCAAGTAAACTTTGAAAGCTTTTTTAGAAGTACTTTTGTGTGGGCACTGTAGTTGGGAAACTACATTGGCCAAAAACGGCTCCTCTGTTAAAAAAAAAGTTTGAAAATTAGCACTCAAATATTAAAGAGGAGTAAAGCCCTGGACGGTGTGGCTAAGTGGTTAGGNGAAAATTAGCACTCAAATATTAAAGAGGAGTAAAGCCCTGGCCGGTGTGGCTAAGTGGTTAGACCCTCAGCCTGCGCACCAAAGGGTTGCAGGTTCGATTCCCCGTCAAGGGCACATACTATAGTTGCAGGCCTGATTCCCTACCATGGTCGGGGTGCATGGGGGAGGCAATGAATCGGTGACACTCCTGCATCTATGCCCCCTCCCATTTAAAACAAACAAAAATCAACAGGAGTAAAGGGAGGAGGTTGATTTTAATTTCCACTGTAAAGTGTCAAATGGCCAAAGACTTACTGAAGCACAAACCTACATGTGCCAGGTACTGTTGCTGAAATTATGAATGCTTAATCCTACAACTTAGTATGTTACTTTTATAAATTTTTATATTTTAAAAATTTATCTTTATTGTTGAAAGTATAACAGGTGTCCCATTTTTCCCACCAACTGACCTCCTCCACAGGCCTTCACCCCGTTATTGACTGTGTCCATGGGTTATGCATATATGCATACAACTTCTTTGGTTAATCTCTTCCCACCCTCCACCCCTTTCCCTCTCAAATACGATCATCTGTTGCCATGCGTCAATGTCTCTGGATCTAATTAGTTTGTCAGATTCTTTTGTTCATTAGCTTCTTCTTAGAGAAGACCCTTCAACATTTCCTGTAGT